CTGAATACTTGATCCATAACGCTGTTTTATCTATGTCTTTGTTTCCGAATGTGTAAAGGTTTCACGCCTCCTGGAATGGACAGGTCATCTCCAGACAGCAGTCCAGTACATGGCTTCGTGCGTCAGGCATCTGTCACCACCGGATCCAACATCCCCATCATCACAGAACTAGGTAAAACTGTTTCCACCCACCTCAGTTGCAAACATTGCATGTTACATCCAGTAACTACCAGTCAACTCATTATTCATTTCCAGATGTAGACACACAGAGCTAATAATCTCAGGCATCATTCTGCTATCAAAAGTTCCAACTCATTCAAGGTCAAACGGACTAAAGAATGCACGGAGTGGAATTTTTGTCCACTTTCATGTTGTTGATAGCTTTGCCCAACTCAACTTCATATTCAGATGTGGGTTACTGGATCCTGCAAAGTTTTTTTTGTTGTTGTGTTTTTTTTGTCAAGTGGTGACTCAACTTAAAGGTATCAAACACGCACTTTCGGGACAAAAGCCACATCTCCTGCCATTTGTCCACTAATGGACAAGAGAAACTCGGCCTGATGGAGAGAGTGAGAGAGGGAGAAAAGGGAAGAGAAAAGGTAGAAGAGGAAAAGTGCCTTGGTTGCAAAATGGGTCCATTTATTAATCACAATACCACTGGTTGTATTCCCAATGGTGATGGGGACTCATGAAACTTTCAGATCTCCGAGGGGCCTTCTAAAGCACTAGAGACTAGCTACTCTGTCTCCTCTGACCCAATTAGGGAGCAATGGAGCATGAGGCCAGCTAAGAAAAGGCCAGAAAGAGAAAGAAGCTTCCTAATATTACTTGTAACCAGCACAGCCATTACCTGAATTGAGCCTCTCCCATTACACTCCTAACCGCATATGTAATCATCAAAACTAGATAGTCCACGTTAGAGCCAAAGGCTTCTGTCCTGGACCTTAATGCTCGTGGCTCTGGAGTTGCCTCTCTGCATGCTCTTTGCTTAGAAAAATTTTCAAGCTGCAGCATCACTAGATGCGATAACATTGTCTTTTGGGAAAGGAAGAAGTAAGAGAATACAAAGGGAAGAGTGGCTGCGTGTCTTACGCCAAATATATGCTGTACTTACATTGTCATATGTTCAGGTTACAGTGCCAGAAGCAGATTAAAGTCACTTTCAAACCTAAAAAACACGCCTCATCTGAGTTTCGTGATCAATTTTGTTTGCATGGCGTGTGAAGTAGGTGTGTTTATGGATAAGATCCTTTTCTTTATCCGTCTCACTGCTTTACCATGAAATTATTTATTGTTGTTGAAGCGGCACGGTGCTGTGACAGCTCGGGCTTCGTATCTACTGTGCACTCTAATCCGGGGTGCTTCACTTTTAGACACCGGACAGCCGTGAATATTTCAGAGTAATTCCGAAGTTGACGCGAGCAGTCTTGAGACACCCGAATGCCTTTACTGCGGTCTTTAAAACTGTTTCAATAACGACACAATTTCTCCCTCTCTCTGCACTGTCTCATCACCATTAGCTAAACCTGGCAAACTACTGCCATTGGTTTCACTCAGTCAGGAAAAAAAAAGTGGAACCAGCATACAAATGATAACAGAGCTGGGTAAGCTGAGCCTTTGTCCTCTGCTGCCGTTCGTTCCCCTCGCTCCGTCGCTCCGCTCCTCATCAGCTTGTCTTGATTTATCTGGCTGCAGTCAAGGCTCTCGCTGCTCCCATGGCTTCACTTTGAACACATTTTTATCCTTCGTTCTGGCTGAAATTGACTGTCTTGTTTTGGCCCTCTTTTTACTGATTTTTTTTATTTTTCTTATTTATTTTGGGGCATTTTTGTTTTGTTTTCTTTCTTCCAGTTGGGTTTTTGCAGAGCTTCGCTAGGCCTTTGATCATGTTCAGTCTGTCCTTGTGGCTGTTTTCATAGCAACACCCCCTCGGCCTCTCACCACCCCTACCTCCCCTCCTTGCCACCTCCACACACACACTAACTCCCGCTCCCCTCCCTTCACTCCTTTGGCCCAGGCCCGTTTGCATCAGCCCCCTTCTCTCTTTGACTGACATTTTTGTTCCACAGCTCACAGGAAACAAGGGAAGAAATCAAATTTCAAAAATAACAACAACGAACAAAATCTTTTAAGCTGTTTGTTTATTTTTAAAATGTATTTTTCTTTTTTTTTCTTTCCCTCATGCCATAACTCTGAGGCACAGATACTGCACGAGTCAAACAGAAAACTTGTGTGATGCTCTCTTTTAGAGTAACGTTGGCTCATAGATTCATCGCTGTCCACTGCTGCTAGAAATACATTATAGGGGAAAAGATTTGCAGCGTAGCAAGAACTCATTCTTTAAGAGGTTTTTAAAAAAAAATCCATTTATTATCAGGCTAGTTTCATTTAGACTGTGCAGATCATGTTTTTCTTCATCATAATATAAAAAGTGTGTTGTTATCTGGTTTTAATTTGACTTTCGGGGCGCAGGTAAATATGTGAGATGTATCTCCACAATGGTGATGATGTGACAAACACATCCATCAAGAAGGAATTTCCTAAAAAACAAAACAAAACAAAAAAAAAAACATAGCATGTCATTAAGTGCATGGTTTTCTCATGTGAGATAGTAGCCATTGTTGAAGTCTCAAATTTTACTTTTTAATGAACCCTTATAAATATATAGATATATACTTTTTTTTTTAAATACATACATGTTTTTGTTTTTATGTATGCTACTGTCACTGTATTTTGAAATTCTGTGCAGTTATGTACCTTGGATAGCAATATAATAAAGAATAAAAGAAAAACCAAAATGAGCATATAGTAGCTACAGAGATGCTAAGATTGGGGACTTCTTCAATGGTTATCTAAAGTTGTGGTTTGCCTAAATGTATGAAACGCACCCTGCATGTTATATACAGTACATAGAATTACATATATTACAATATACATATTAAAAAATGAAAAAGGTATTTTATTCAACAACACATTTTTGCCACATTCCAAACAATTAAACATATGAGGACAAAAAAAGAGTATTTTTAAACTCGGGCATCAATTTTATAATAATTATTGATTTCATAATCAGTGGAAAACGTGTCAATTGTTTGGAGAAGAAATGAATTTTATTTTTTTTCTTGTGTTTTAAAGTAAGTGCAGTGGTGTATATATGCAGTGAGATATAATGTGCATCTGATGTTGCATTATATTGGAAGCTCCAACCATACCGCAATACCTATATACCTGAGACCTTCTTCTTCCATTACTAAGATGTGTCCTAATCTTTTAAAATGTAACTCAGCATTTAAACAAAAAAGAAGAAGAAGTGTATCGTATGCTATTAAACTCTCAGGTGTGTTGGTGTCTATGTGCAAGCGCGCGTGCACTTCACTCTGCCCGTCTCTAACTCGGCTGTGTCCCCTCTCTCAGTGAACGACTCAAACGTTCAGTTCCTGGACCAAGATGATGATGACGACCCAGACACAGAGCTGTACCTCACTCAGCCCTTCGCCTGCGGCACCGCCTTCGCTGTCAGTGTACTCGACTCCCTGATGAGTGCGGTGAGTTCCTAAACAGACTGAAAACCCACTGTGCTTGTTTTAAATTTTACAATTTTTATTTTTGAAATTCTCCATCTGCATGCTTTAATAGCTATATTCATTACAGAGAAATAGAGCAGAGTTTCAAATAAAGTACATAAAGACTTAACTGCATGCTGTTGCTCAGGTAGAGACTGTAGATTAAGGTAGAGTTAAGACATTGCATTATGTTAATAAACCCAGATCATTTCCTTATTTTCCTTATTACAATTAAATTGCTTTAGAGCAATAATTGTTCAGATGTACCTGTACTTACCTATAAGTTACAAGCTCTGCTGGTGTATATAATAAAAACAAACACATCCTGAGGTGATGTGTTGACATAAATTTAAGTAGATGCGCAGTTTTGGCATTTCAAGTAGGCAGAAGTTGGTAAATGAAATGGCACAGTACATTGATCACATATGCCTGCCAACTCCACTGACATCAGAAGAGAAATAGTTGGCATCACTCACACTAAGTGTTGACTGTTTAACTTTCAGGAGTTTTATTTTAACAAAGTAAACTAAAAGTTAGTGTAATAGTGGTGATATATGCGCAGCTATAAAGGTGCCAAAGAAATGCTGTTTTGTCATTTGTGATCACTGCGCCGGAGATAAGAAAAAAGATGAAATGGGCAGAAAACGAGCTACAGAAAAATTCTCCCTCTCCCGATGACCAAGTGTGTTGTTTCCCTTTGGTGCTGTGATGGCTTAATTCCAGCAGTTCTCTCTGCGAATAAGGGGTTAGAGGAGCGTGTGAAGCTGAGCTGTGCAGGGAGTATAGCGGGCGTCAGCTGTAGTCTGGCACTGGTCAGAGGTGAAGCCAGCTAATGGACACTGCTCATCCATCATGAGGCTCTGCAGGCCTGTCAGGGTCCCAGTGAGGGGCGCTGCCACTACGGCCCGTCTGCCTGGTGACATCAGCTGTCTTCACTCTTAGCAAAAGCAGGTTCTGATCGGCTTGAAGGACAGGAGAACCTGACACTTGCAGATCGCAGTCAAATTGTTGTTTCGAATATCAAAGCAGACCTTGTGGGGTGCGTAGAGGAAAGAATTATGTTTTGTGGAAGTACTAGTGTTTTATTTAATGCAATGATCCCACATGTACTATGGTTAGCAAAATGCCCTTGACCATGTAGCTCTAAAATTTGATAGATTTATGTATCTTGAATTTTATGTATATTTTAGTGCAACCTAATGCAACATTTCTCATATTGAATACTTAAAGGGCTAGTTCACCAACTAACCCCCCCAAAAAAGCATATGTTTGCACTTATATCTAGTTGTATTTATTCATGTATATGGTTCCGTTTTCAAAGTCAGTTTTTAAAAGAATATTTTAATGTATTCATCTTGGTGAATGGCGCATGAAAAGAAAGATTTTAAAATATCATTTTTTAAAAACAAATATTCACTATTGCATAAAAATAACAGCATTTTAAAAAAATGTATATTTTATAAGAAACGGGCACAGTGAAAAATGTCAGTGTTGAGATCTGTGGGTTATTGACAATAACAGCAAAGTGGTTTCTACAAAGATGTGTTTCTGTTGAATTTTCAAATAAATTCATTTATTATCAGAAACCTAAAGATTAATAACTTCAGTAAATAAAGTCCAAACTACCTCCAGTGAAATATCATAAGAGGTAAGGAAGAAAATATGTTTTCAATAACTAATGAGTATGGAGAGGTAGTAAGGTCTAAGCACTTTATGCTTATGTCTGCTATAGCTCTGCTGGTGACTCTAAAGGCATCTGCTTATACATATACCTTTTTTTCTCTTTCCAGACATACTTTAATGATAATATCCTCACGCTGATTCGAACGCTGGTAACAGGGGGAGCCACGCCAGAGCTGGAGGCTCTGCTGGCTGAAGAGAATGCTCTCAGAGGAGGCTACAGCACACCGCAAACTCTGGCCAACAGAGACAGGTGTCGCGTCGCCCAGCTAGCCCTCTACGATGGGCCATTTGCTGACTTAGGGGTAAGTGGATGTTTAAGTGCAGATGACACATTTTGCCACTACCCAGCAGCACACATCTGCCCACCTCTGCTGCTCCCGGGCCTTAATCTGATGTGAAGAACAGTGATCGTGCAAAGCAAGCCTTAGTGGGTGGAGAGGGAAGATTGCTTTGAAGAGAACAATGAACCAACATGGTGTTGGTTCTAATTGGTTCCAACCTTGTTTTTAACAGGTTTTCTTAATTTTGTAAACTATGAGTAATGAAGTTCTTTTTGTTTTGTTTTTTTCTTGGATGAACTCTGGCATAATTTTACAACACTGCCAGTTTTATTGCAGTCTCCTCTGCCAAAAGTTGCTGTTTACTGGCAAGCAAAAGACTGGTACAGAGCGCATGAATCTCACAACTTAACAATTCCTTTTATTGTCCTAACCTGACTGACCTAACACACAATCATGGTTTCTTTGTTCTGTTGTTCACCAGGATGGCGGCTGCTATGGAGATTTATTCTGCAAAGCACTGAAGACATACAACATGCTGTGTTTCGGAATCTACAGATTAAGAGATGCACATCTCGGTGCACCAAGCCAATGTACAAAACGGTATGATACTTGCTTTTGCTCATTGACAAAATGAATATCTTGATGTAATAGAATGAATGATTACGCTTGTAGACTCCAGAGTACTGTTGCATACAGAGGCATTAGTATTAAACTCAGTGACTACAAGGTGTTCAGGTCTTGTGACTGCATAGCAAGCCCAAATCATCACCACTCCACCACCGTGCTTGACAGTTCGCCGAGGTGTTTGTGCTCATATTCTGGTATCCTGCATCCCTTCCAAATGAGCCATTTTTATTCAGTCTTTTTCTAATTGTGCAGTCATGAACTTTAACATTTAAAATACTAGCCAGAGCCCGTAGAGTCTGAGATGTAGCTCTTGGGTTTTGTGCAATTTTATGTCAGAGTTTCTCTGATCGTTTTCTCTGATCTTGGGGTGAATTTGCTGGGAGCTCCACTCCTGGGAAGATTGTGCTATTGTGTTAACATTTACCTGAATGCTCCACACTGCAAACTGCCAAAACCCGTGCTTTTACAGAGTTGATCACGCTTTCTGATTTTCAGTTGCATTTGATTAGAAGCGGCTGGCTGCTACTTATTAATTTAATCCCTCTAGAAAAGGTAAGGGTGTACTTAGAGGCCTGTGGAAACTTTCTTTTTAACATGACTGTATATTCATTTATGTTTAATTTTTAAATGTTGCAGTAAATGCTTTGCCGCTCTTTCATTGATGTATCTGAGTCTTATTGTCTGTAACATGTGTTTTCCGGCTAGGTATGTGATCACAAACCCTCCATACGAATTTGAACTGGTGCCCACCGACCTGATCTTCTGCCTAATGCAGTTCGACCACAACGCCGGCCAGTCCCGGACAAGTTTGTCCCACTCTTCCCACTCCTCCCATTCCTCCAGCAAAAAGAGCTCATCCGTGCACTCCATCCCCCCATCGAACCGGCAGAACCGCAGCAGCAAGACCCGGGAGTCCCGCGAAAAACAGAAGTACGCATACGCACATGTCCTGCAATCTGCCTGATTAGTGTTTTACACCCAACCTGTAAAGTATGCTATAGGTGTGTGCGTGTGTGTGTGTGTTTGTGTGTGTAGACGGTGATGACACATGCACTGATGATTACTGTGTATTATGTGTTTGTGCTTTGCGTCCATGCCCTGTGTTTGTGTGTTTTGTTCATAATCATCTGCATGTGGTCTTCACTCTGACATCACTGCAGTCATAACATGGCATAAGCAAATTGGTAAACTCACTTTGTGGAGAACTGGGTTCATTTATTTGCCTCAAAGACTCGAGCCTCTTTTGTAAACAGTAAGGCCATTTTTTTGGTTGGAAAGAAGATTACAGTAAAAAGCCCCAACCACAACTCACATTCAATATGTCGTTTGGTCTACCTGTTGTATTTGTCTTAATAGTTAGTTGTTTTGTGTTTATCTTGTAGTATTTGTGGAGTAAGTAACTGTTATGTGTTGGATATTTGTGCACATGATCAGCACACCTGGATCATGGATGTAACGTACTGTGATTTAGCTACTGTAGCTGATATTTAATATTAAGTTGATTTGGCTTGACATTACAGATACTCATAAGATCATCCTTCATTAGCAGTGTTGATATTTTGTTAATCATGGATGCATCTGTACTGCTTTATTGCATGTCCATGTTGGTAGCCCTTTTGAGCAGGCTATTATTTCCTGTACTTTATTATTCACTTATAAGATTATTTTCAAATTTGGTGAAATATTTTTGACAATACTTGGTGTTTATTCCATATTTTCTCCCAAAAATGAGCGTAATTTTCTTTTGACTTGGGAGAATAAAGTCATTTTTGAAGCGTGACATATTCTAAAAGCATGCAGATTTGTTACAATCGTACTCCAGAGCTGTTAAGGAGTAAAGGAAAAGTCCTGAATACATCTTGAAACGTAGATGTATTATATCAACCGAATGCTGTAATGACAACATGTACGCATAAGATAGACTGGTAGCCATTTGTTAGTTGTGTATTAACTGTAAATACGCCTCACTTACAGTAGATTACTTACCTCTCTTTCTGAAGTGCAACAAGGATGAATAGAATGGGCCAAGGTATGCAAGTTAACGATTCTGCATGACTTAGCAACCTTTTTACCTGGGGTTCTGATCATAACTATGTCCTCTGTGGATATTGTTATGATGAGGGGAGTTTGTTTTATTTCTTACGTTCTTCAGACGTTAAGTAAACCATGCCTCAGTTTAAGTTTTGCTTTCATCTGGAAAGCAAAATGTCTGCTGCTGCTCCTGCCTCCCTGCCATGATCAGGACCATTTCCACACTGCATGAGGTTGAGACAACCCCTACACCCTACCACCCCACCCTGCCCCACCCTGCCCTCCCCCTCCTTTGTGCCTCTACCTCAGTTATTTATTTCATGATATGATTTTTTTTCCTCTCTCCTACAGACAAAATCATCTTCCACATTTTTTTTTCCCATTATCTATCATGCCTTCTTACGGTTTATTTGAACTTGAGATGGTTTGCATTGTGTGAGAGGTCTGTGTGTTTGCGCATCTTCCCTCCTATTGAATGCTATGAGACGACTGTAGCAGACTTTCAGATGTAAAATTTATCCTCTCATTTAGCACAGCAACTATGTTATTATAACAGCATCAGCATGTACCGCAGAGCAACTACGTGTTGTAATACTGTACATACATGTACCATAGCTCACATGTAGGTCAGACTGATTCAAATCCCCCTGATGCAGCCAAATTGCTTACTTCTTCACAGAACTTTAAGAAAGTGTGTCCAGCCCTGTGCCATCGGTCACACTGCAAAAGTGGGAGGTGTGACCAATTTAGAGTTTAAATTGAAGGGGGAATATGAGTCTGTAAGTCTCCTCCTTGTAACCCTGCACGCCTGATATGGTGGTTTGAGGCGACATCACTAAGTTCACCGTATCAGCAGTAGACTCCGGAGAGAGATGGCAGACATCTTGCTTCACCTCAGGCACAATTCTACACATCAAATGTCTTTGCTGTAACACACAGCCCTGCAGCCTCAAGCTTGCTGACACACACACACACACACTCAAGCCCACACAAATGAATCTCTGCACATGCGGTCCTGCATGTAGACGAGCACTTTCACACATGCACACACACGCACAGATGCGTGCACAGGGTGTGCTCCACATCGCAAAGTTAAAATTTGATATTACAACTTCACCCAAAAGGAAGTGACATCTTGAATGGCATTGCAGTCGCCTGTGAAGTGCTGGGAGTGAGTTTACAAACTTCTGACAGCTGGCATACACACTTCCCTTTCCTCAGAAACACTGCTCTCATAGCCTACTTAAACATGAAGAGATTCTCTCCTAGATGACACATCCAACCCTCTCAAATCTCCTTCCTGCTCTCATGCTGACAGTGATTTTAAGAGCTCACTCTGAAATGTGACTGTTTAGGGTATGGTGCACTTTTTAAAATTATTAGCTAAACAACCAGATCACCCAAATCGCAAAAGACATATTTTCTATAGTTCCACTATTGGTAAATGGTCCTACAAAAAGTTCTGGTTTTATTGCATGGTATCTATTTCTTTGATTTCTGCGACCATCCAAATACAACACAAGTGAATAGAATTTCACAGCACTAACAATTTAGAGTTTACCACAAAAGGCACATTTTCCTGTCGATATTTGAAAAGATTAATTAAATTCAGTGTTTACAAGTACAAAGTACTGGTTCAGTTGTGGATCATCCTCTGGTTCCCTGTTATTCTGTCAATCCTAATCCACTATTATTTGTTTGTTTTTCCAGAGGAGGTGAGCTATTTATTTGGTTTTCGTTTAGTTGGAGTAATCCAGGTTTATTGTGTGTGCTGAAAATCTGTTCAGATGCTGCACCTGAAAAGCACAGACAGTGGGACCTCTCTGGATAATAACAGTTTAATAACAGAACCCCAGTTTTACCAAACAAGAAATACTGCATCCCTGCTCACAGCTAGGATCTTTTACCTCTTTTCCACCGATGTAGTGCTGGTGCAGAGCCAGTCCTCTCCTTAACCTTTTGAAATCCTGCTCAATTTTTAAGTGGCTTAATGGTAGAACATGGCTTAGCTTCAAGTAGCAAACGCTTGGGTAACATCCATTTGAAAAAGCTTTAATAGATGGCTGCCCCTCCCTGAGCCTGGTTCTGCCAGAGGTTTCTTCCTGTTAAAAAGAGTTTTTCCTTCCCACTGTTGCCAAAGTACTTGCTTATAGGAGGTCATATTATTGTTGAATTTTTCTCTGTACAATATAAAGCGCCTTGAGGTGACTGTTGTTGTGATTTGGCGCTGTATAAAGAAAATTAAACTGAATTGAATTGAAAATTGAATTAATAAGTAAAATCCGCAAACTGTATCTATGATTCAGTGAGATGTTTTTGCTTCACTGATGTCAGTGGTTCCATCTTTTGTACCAGCACATTTGTGCACACATGTGCTTATACCACTTTTTAGGAATAGTGCCACTTTTTACATGAAAAAGCAATGAACCAGTTCAAGGGGACATGCTCATCAGCTAGCAACTTGTCATTCACAAGTTAGCCCATTTCTCAGTCAGGTCCTTGCACATTGCATTCAGTTTCACTACATGAAGGACAGGTTTCATAAGGGGACTAATTTAACCATTGTGTTAAATCTCAGTGCTAAAATCTGTCTTTTAAACTATGATCAGTAGGGTTAGGGTTGGTACCTTTTATATCATCTTTTATACTATGATCATGAGTGTGACCAACCTTTGATGAGCAAGCTGTGTAGCAGAAAAATAGAATGCAAAAATTAAAAAAGCAAAAAACAAATAACCAGTCAAATATTTTAAAAATAATTTTTGTTGGTTTCTTTTTGTTTTCTAAACTTGATTTCACGCTTAAAAAAAAAATCATGACACAGACTTACTAAGGGCTATGTTGCATTCCCTCTTCTTTTAATACTCTAATCTTTCATTTTTCTGGGTGTGAACTGAGGAGATTCTGCTGCTTTCAAAGCAAAATGTTTCCTCATTTTTGCTTATATTGAATTTCAGCTTTTAAATAATTCATAATAATCCACTATTGTTGTTAAGGGAAATTATCAAATATTTTCAAAGGGTGATGGGACAGGCTGCCAGGAAGGCCAGTTTAGTACAGATGGAGAGATGCTTTTTTGTTCCCTTCCCAACTTTTTTCTTAGCACCAGCACTTAATATTTTGTCTTTATTACTTTTATGTAAATAATGTTTAAATGACTTGCAAATTTATGTGTATATATTATTTATAGTGTGTGTATATATTTTACACACCATATTTCTTAGAATGGTAAATGAGCCCCTGTAAAAATGTGTCAAATGTGTATTCTTGTAAATGGCAATGCATCTACATCGTTTTAATAATAATACCAAGATTTCTGAATCTATTGCTATACTTTAATATTGTAAAGGCTTGATATTTAAATTCACCCAGATTTTTTTTTCCTTTAATTGAAAAAAAAAAAAAGTCCCACATTTGCTTCCACTCACACTGCCCTTGGCAATTTGTGGGTATTTATGTTGAATTTGAATCCACCCGTTCCACATCTTGAGTCTGGCTGGTCAGAGGAATACACTCATTGGAGGTTTTATACAGACTATTTCTTTGCTATAAAGAGATTCTTAAAAAATAGTCTTTATTTAGACTATTTTTTAAGAATTGACAACACAGAGTCAACTGACATTGACTCTGTATTGTGGTGACAGCAGAAATCTCTGGAATGGATGTCTCAAAATCTGGAAATAAAACCAAAACTATCCAAAAACAGGAGAAATGGTAAAAAAGAAACAGTTTTCTGTTTTGTAATTTGGGTGAGCAGATCCTGAAATATGCTTTAGTATGTACTGTATAGCATACTAGTCTGTTCTTCTTTTTTCTTTTGTCTTATCAGTCTTCACACAATTAATTAGAAATCTGATATAACATACCCACGCAAATACAAAGTCAGTTATGGACAATGCCACCATATCAACTTCAGATTGGCTCAGGTCACCAGAAACCAAACTGAAAGTGGACCTTGCGTACGACAAAGAATGCCATGCAAATCTTAATCTCACTTAAACTGAGGCATTATGGTTGTAACTAAACCAGCATTGCATACTTTTTCTAACTAAACCCTTGTTTTCTTCCTCTCTCACGTTTTCCCCTTTAGAAAAGAAATGGTTTACAGATGAACCAGAAAATGCCTACCCAAGGAACATTCAGATCAAGCCCATGAGCACTCACATGGCCAACCAAGTCAACCAATACAAATCCACTAGTAGTCTGATTCCACCAATCAGAGAAGTTGAAGATGAATGCTGAACACCAGGCTTTCTCGCTGACTCACCAGACATCTGTACGCTCTTTACGAAAGAGATTGGAAGAGATCACCAAAGGAGGGATGATGATGATGATGATGATGACAGAGGTGGTGAAGATTGACACATTTCTCCTCACTCATTCTTCTAATTGAGGGTTGGACAGGAACCCAGACTGGGAAGGGACCTCCTATGTGTATATGTTTAATGTTACTTCCATGCTCTTGGACATTTGTTTTATTTATTTATGTGTCCATAGAAATGTACATAATGACAATCAAATAAGGATTGTACAGCCCCTTCCCTCTAGCACTTTTTGGAATTATTTTGAGAGTTGACGGAAAAAAAAAAGAAGAAGAGTACTTCCTGTAATTCTTTGCAATAGTTCACCTCTTCATGTGACCAGACTCCATGGTTGAGGTGACTGGTTATTGGAGGATGAGGGTTGCAGCGATAAACTGATCATATCATCTCCCAAAGATTAACTCAGTTGCGTCACATCAAACCGGCTGGGTTTATCGCCGTCATATCTCCCGTCTGCTTCTGTTCTATTTGCACTAAAACTGAACAAGTTTCTTTCCACAGAACAACTGGAAACATCAACACCCCCACCTCCCCACGCCACCTCTGAGTAAAGAGTCATTGAGGAGATGACGGAGGAAGAGCTGCTCGGCTTTGGAGGCATACTAATTTTGTTCTCAGTTTGTTACTCATCGTGTCATTGCTTTAAGCTTTTGCTGTTTCACCTTGACTCGCCATGTGTCGCCATGAGTGAGATCAATCCAGCCCTGAAAACAAAAAACAAAAAAAAAGGAAATCAAATATCGCAAATTGGTAATCTAAAAACTCAAGACAATGGTGCAGTGTTGGTGCATGCTGGCTGGAAGGAGAGCCCGAGTCTTCTGCTGATGTGTCAGATACCTGTGCTTGAGCCCAGTAGATATCGCGGTTAATCAGCCTGAATACATGAAAAGGATAAAAAAAAACAACAACAACAACAAAAACCTGCTCTGTCCTTCATGCATTCAGGTTTATGTATAAACTGTGTGTATGTGTGTGTTGTATTACAGCCACTTGTCCTTCTGATGCTGCACTGTCACTCCCCACCAACACTGATTTGTATGTGATGAAGCACCTTTGAGGGGACAGCATGTTTGGAAAAAAAAGAAAAAAAGAGTAATAGACACAAACAGTAGGAGATCATAAATCACTTGGGTGTTCTAACAAAGGCATTGAGTTGCATCCAAAACCAAACCAAAATAGCCAACTATGATTGAGCGTATCTAACATGAACAGCAGCTGCATGGCGTTATAACTGTAACAGCACTGGGATCACTCAGCAAAGTGGTGTATTGCCTGTAACATAAAGTTAATATATGAGGAAAGAAATGCCACATATTGCGTAATAGTGGGCATCAGTGGGTCCTCCTTTGATCGGAGCAACTGCCTGGCACGGGGTTGGCACAGAGGCAGTAAAGAGCTTGGATGTTCTCTGTTGCCAGCCCAGATGTCGCACACGCCAAGCTGCTGTGTTCAGTCCTCGAACACGAGGAAATGCTCAAGCATAGTTGGTGGAAATGCAACAAATGCCACAGGCATAAGGACAAGGAAGTGGAACGTGCTCGGGTGCAACATGAGTGTATTTTCTGTATGCTAACGCGCCTATATATCCAAATGAGGCTGGTGCATGGACGGAGGATTGACCCGGTAGCCTCGTACTCCTAATGGTCAACCTCGTCCAAGAAAAAAAAAGTAGTGGGATTTATACATTTCAGCATAATTATTTTATATCCATAAACATAATCAATTTGTACTTATTTTTCTAGTCAAGAGCAAAGTTAAAAGTACTTTAGGAGAAGACTGAATTGATATATTTAATTACAACTACATATCAAAAGATTTTATGTTGGACTGTCACTTTGTCACGTATACTAAAACAAATGATTATTTTTTTAATCGCCCTAGCCCCTCTCTGACAGACTGCATCACTCTGGAGCTAACATAGCTTAGACTAGCTTGCATTGTGAAAACATCTTCAGCTTGGCAGCTCAGCTCTGTTGAGTGCTTGTAGAAATAAATTTAGGCTAATCGGAAGCCTCCTTTGGTTGCACAGATGCAGTGTCTACTAAATAATGTGTCTACTACTAAGCGTCCCTTGCTGAGAACATGCATAAAGGGAAGAAAGGCGTAAAGGAGTTGTGTTTTGGGGGAGGGGGTAAATGTACTTAACTAAGGAGTGGATTAGAATGGTTAATAATGACGGGATGAATAGAAAGTTTCTCCCACTGTGTGCAGACCAGAACCGAACGACCTTTATTAGATGACTGTGACCTAAATTAGGTCCCTAGCATGGAGTAGGAGTGTGTACACTACCACAAAGTGTGCTGGTATTTTCCACAGAATATGCCCGGGAGACGCTGTTTGTTTATTGCAGCGATCCTGCTCTATAGATTGTAAAGAGAACGTCATTCTGAAAATAGAAAACAATTTTGGAAAATGGAAAAGATGATACTGTGCTAAATATGTTTGTGTAAACTCAACCCATGATATAGATCACATTTCTTTCTCAATCAAAATGATCTGAGCCTCAGTGTCCGTCTATTGGGTGTGGTACAACTATGCTGAAGCCTCATACACATTGTCCTGAAGTGAACTTTTGAACTGTGATTACATCGTTGTCACACATTGTAGCAAATAGGTTTCTTTTTGGAAAAATATGTGAGTAAAATGTACGTATAATTGGGTTGTTAACGCCATACTTTCTAGCCTGAACTTTAAGGAATTAATATTTGGTAACGTCGGTCGCTCATTCTACATAAAAATCGACAAACTGATTGTTCTGTTGAGAAAAAAAAAAACCATGAATATGTATCTCAAAAAAATAAAAGATCTTGGTTTATTGTAGGAATGCGGAGACTATTCAAGTACTGTATGCGGCACATGGATAGGTTAGGCAGAATTTGATCAGCCATCACGAAGATGAAAGGTAGCACCAATTCAGCAATTATCGAAAGACAGGACATCCTTCGTTTTCCTGTTTCTATTACTTTGCTTTGTAACAGGGTTTACATTCCATTTTGTCAGCTCATCATTATCTATCACAAACTGTCACAACTGCTTCTTATTTGTTTACAGAATATTTTTGAGGCACTTAAACATAGCAAAGTGGTACATGCTGCAAACCGGCATAAACTCGCAAAGTAATGCACCATTTACTTTCATTATACTTGATTACTGTGCTTTTTTTTTTTAGACCTGAACCCTCATTGCACAACTCATTCAGGCTGGCATTACTCACAACACTGGACTGAGATGTCTCTCCTTCCTACATCTTTTCAGATGTTCTTCGCATTGTATACCTCTAAAGTTTTTAGAGTGTTTTTTTTTTGAAGTGCCATGAAGAGTTCAGTTGAGCAGGCATCCTTCAGTCATTCAGGGACACAGGCTACCTTTAAGGGAGTCCACGTGTTTTCCACTGTGAGAATTAAGTCTTGTACTGACATGGAGAACATCCAAGCCATCAATGCCTCCATGCCAGTATAGTGCCAGGCAGTGCAGGAGGTCAAGAGGAGGGCCCATATTAAGTCCCACTAAAGCGAAAAGTGGCATACAGGAGGCCCGGGGGGCTGATGGGGCAGATGGATACAAGCTTCAGTCAATAAATCATACATGTCCTATCTGCCAGATGCTTTGTTAAAGGTTAGCAGGTTGTGTCATACAGTGTAATGAGATATGGATGACTGAAAGATGCACAGATGTGTTGTTATCCACTGAACAAATCAAAAGACTGACGCGTCATATGTTACTGTTACAGTATGTTGCATTAATTTTGTTAATCTATTTTTTTGCTGTAAAGGATGGAAATAGAAACTTATTTGCTGGGAAATGTACTAGATATACAATAGAACATAAAATACTTATGGGGATAGGAGGTGGGTCTCAAGTCTTAATAATACATGAAAACTGCATTCAGCATTTTTTTTTTTTAAAGAAAACTTGCTTTTTTTTGGCTGCCTATCAGTTCAGGAAGAATTCAAGATATTGCTCTTGTTTATCACAGATAGGATTTCTTAGTACATCATCATTGCAGCAAACGGAAGTTTGACACAGCAGTCTAATTAGTTTGGATGCGTTCAAGATGTGATGGATAAATGGATTATTTGATGGTGCTGAGTTGATCTACCTGACTCTGTCAAATATAATCTGCTGATAAATATACTGTCTTGTACAAAAAAATTGTACATAGATTGTACATGGTTTCTTTTTGTATTTTTTCTCAAATTAAAATGGATGTATTTGTGTTCTAAACCTGGACATTCTCCTAATTGTTTAGAAAAATTCCAGCTACAAACAGCAGTTCTCAGTTATGAACTATACAATTATATATTTGGAACGACCATAAACTGAAAGTGATACAGTACTTACACAACTATTACATGTAGTTTATACTTGTAAACAATGTCCATACGTTAAATAATGTTATACACTTGCGAACACTTTATTAGGTACATCTTGGTAGTACTAGGCCACCTTTTGCCTTTAGTACTGTTTTAACTCTTCATAGCATAGATTTAGATCCTATGTGAACTGTAGCCTCAATTTCCTGTTCTTAATTAACAAGAGCCATTGTTGTCTTCTGCTAGTGGAGCCCATCTGCTTCAGGGTTCAACATGTTGAGCATTTGGAGACACTCTTCTCCATAGCTTGGTTGCTGTGTGTGGGTATTTGAGATACTGTTGCCTTCCTATCAGTTTGAAGCAGTCCAGACATTTTTCTCTGACCTTCTCTGACAAGGCATTTTCTTCCAGAGAACTGCTGCTTGGACCATTCTCAGAGGTGGTTATTTGGGAAATTCCCAGTAGATCAAGAGTTTCTGAAATATTCAAAATAGTCTGTCCAGCACTAACAACCGTATTATGTTCAAAGTCACTTAAATCACCTGTTTGCCCCCGTTCTGATGCCCGGTTTGAACTTCAGCAGGTCATCTTGACCATGTGTAGATACACAGGTTCAATTTGATTGTCTGATTAAATTCTGTGTTAACAAGCAGTTAAACCAGTTTGTCAGGTGTACCTAACAAAGGAGCTGTTTTAGTAGCAGGCTCAGAAACTCAGCTAGCCTGCCTCATCGGGTCTGTGTTGGGCTGTTTTGATGTGATTTAAGCAATAATTGACAGATAACATAAGCAAACATCCCTCAAAATTTTTACCATATATTAATTAATCTTTGGCTCTTTTCCACAATGTGTCTTTTGCTTCTCCTCCTTTAGTCTGGTTCTGCTGGAAGTTTCTTCCTGTTAAAAGGGAGTATCTGCATCTGATTGTTGGGGCTTTCTGTCTGACATTGCAGAGTCTTTACATTACATTATAAAGCTTCTGGAGGTGATTGAAAGTTTAGTAAGCCTTCCAACACGGTGCTTTCTATTAGATACACCGAAATCTCCTATTTGTCTGATAGGTGTCCATTCTGTGCAGTGTTTGCACAACTCTGTTTGCAAATGAAAAAAAAATGCTCAGACCAAACCAACATCACTCCAGCCAACAACATGGAGCGTTCATGTTCGTGCACAACATCAAATATGACCACCATCAGTCTACCCACATACCAAATTATCTCTCTAAACATGTACAGTACAGTTGAAAAAGACCCAGCTCCTGACCTTGACCATGAACAGGGGACACCTGAGATAAATACAAACTGTATTTTACAATCCTCACCCTGCCGAGGGGTCGGTGACCCTGCCGTCCAAGTCCCACCACCAATCGCGTATCCTCTGAGTCTGGCATTAGTCTTGATTTACGTTTACTGACACGCTATTAGCTGCTCCATCACTTTCACCTGTCACACTGTCAATCAATGAGGATCCACACAGTGATGGGTGGGAATAGCATTCTGTCCACAGTAGCTCGTATATCTCCGCCAAGACAGTGACAGTGGATGAGTAAAGGACATCATACCAGGTATCTCGCTGTGCTGTCATGTCAGCGCTGTGGATGTGCGCCACACCAGGATGTGTAGCATCTTAATGTGGATTTGGCTTGCAGATACAGTTATTATAGAAGCGACTGATTTATTGAGGGAGTAATCCTCTTTCTCGCTGTTAGAGCTACGACATGTCAAAGCGAAGCCCGCACCTTGACGAGCATGTCATTAAACAGCGCTAAAGTTGGAGGATTTTTAACCTTTCTGTAATGCAGTAATTTTCCAACTCCAATAATCTGTTTAGATATACACCACAGTGTATATCTAAACAGATGTGTGGTATATACCAACACTGTGCTGCCCGTGTCAAGGGTACGGAGATATCTCCCGAGAATCCTTCAAACATCACGAGCAGCACCAATTCTGAGGTGTTATGATGTGTCAGGATGACTTCTCAGACAACGAGCCACTCTTATCTCATAGCTAGAAATCAGTGGACATCTCATAAGTCTCCGAGCCCTGCCCTCCTTCCCCTCCTCCTCCTCCTCCTCAGCTGAAGTGTGCAATTTCACACTCCAACGTCAAACAGGCGGTCAGAAAGAGAACGTATGACCCACCCTGGCATTTGTCCTCATTTCTCTCTCAAATGTGCAAACACTATTACCCTTGGGTTATCTTAAGTGGTGTGGTGAAGAATCCCGGCCTCTCTCCTCTCTTCTCTATGCCAGACACCCAGACATCAAAACACGACAAGCGGCACGGACAGAGTGGGGATAAAAGACAGAGTGAGGCAGGAGGGGAAAGCGATGGAAATGGAGCAGATGTTTGTGCGGCTGCTGATTTGTGGCCTGATAAGGGTGCTACACAGGCAGCTGGAATTGATGGCTTGTTAGTGAGGACGGGCCCCTCTGTGAGATGTTTTCAAAATGATTGATTTACAATAAAGTGGCTCCGGGTGTGTGCATGCAGGCAGAACTGATGCAGATCGATCCCGCTGAAATTGATTGATCAGCCATTTAGGTTGGCAGTGTGTTTACTGAACAAAAACGAGCAGGACTCTCCTCCCAGCTCC